TAAAGGTTGTACTTGCATATAATGGTGATCCATTAGTGAAAAAAGATATCACAAAGTTTATAGATTGGCCATTTGAATTAAAACCATATCTTACTAATATTAAAGTACTAAAAATATTGATATTTATTTATTCATGTTGTAATTGTTTTACCTTTAGTCTTGAAGATCTTTAAGATTATAGAAGCAAACTTATTCACATTCAATTAGAAGATGATTATTCAATCTTTTGACAACCTTTCAAACTAAATACCTTAAAAAAAGCTGATATTTAGGCTTATTGTTAAGAATTATTAGCTATAAATTTAATTGAGCATTTCAATAGTAAATATGCTTGTACTACAGTCATGCCTTCAAAAAAGAATATTTTTGGTAATTGGATATAGAAGCAGATATATATATATTATTCTTTAATTAATTATAAGATCAAATTTAAATATAATATCAAAAAAATATTTAATACAATATAATTTTTTTAATATTTAGCAGTTTAGATTTAAGATCTAATTATTACCAATTATTATTACTTATTGAAGACCAATTAAAGAGAATATTTTGGAGAATTGATTAAGATACAAATATTAGCTCTATCACTAGAAGTTTCTTTTATTTGGTCTTAAAAATGCACCAACATAGTTTCAATAGATGATGGACTAGATTTTATATGACTTGTTATTTATTAAATGCTATATTGATGATGTTATTATTTTTAATAATAGCCTATAAGATTATATTAAACACTTATAAGTAGTATTTGAGCAATTACAATAATAGAGATTTTTCTTACATTATAGTAAGTATATATTCTTTCATAAACAATTATCATACTTGGATTACATGATTATCTCTAGAAATCTTGGTATATAGCAAACAAAGATTGATGGCTTGTAAAAATATCCTAGCATTAAGTGATGTTTTACAACTTTAGACATTTATAGGGTTGATAAATTATTATTAAAGATTTATTAATTACAAAGCCTAATTACAAAGCCTTTAATTATTTCCACAAGCAAGGATCAACCATGGACTTAAGTTAATGAGCAACAACATGCATTTGACATTTGACATTTGATATTTGTTAAAGCAAAAATTGAGCTTAGCTCAAATGTTTTGATGTTTGAGTGTCATTAGACCTTTTCAACTATACATGGATTGAAATGTAGTAGAACTAGGAGCAATCTTGATGTAAAATGATGATATTAAAATAGAATATATCATTGTATTTATTTTTAGAAGTAATAATAATACAAAGTTTAATTACTCAACTTATAAAGAAGAAACTTTGGTAGTAGTTTGGACCATTGAACACTTTGGACCTTATTTATATGATTAATAATTTATATTCGTAACTCACCATTAATCTTTAAAGTGGCTTATGGAATCACACAAGCTTATTAGCAAGCTTGCAAGTTAGACTTTGTTGCTTCAAAAATACAACTTTGAGATTATGTATCAAGCAGATATTAATAATTTGGATGTCAACGGATTTTTTTGTAATCCAAGTCCTTCTAAAGAAAAATTAATCAAGACTTAGTGGCATAAAGATTGTATTTTTTGTATATTAATATTTGATTTAGAATATATACTTTGTTATTGGTTTGTTATACTTAATGTATTATGTGTAATAATCTTTATTTATTTGACAAGGATTTAGATGGAAGTTATATATCTTTCAAAGGTGGAAGAAGTGACATCATATTTATGCCATCAAAGATATGAAGTAACAATATTGTGCCAAGACAAGTATATTTTAGAGAGTATCAATATTTGACAATTGAAATGTATTAAATGACTAAGTTTTCAAAAAGAGATAAGGTACATGAGCTCTTCAATTTTAACAAGTTTAATATTATACTAATATGTAGTAGTCTTAAGGCAATGTAGTAGCTCCAATTGTTTTGTGTCAACTCAAAAAAAGACATATGCATTACAATTTGTGTTCATCACCATTTTATTTAGTTGTAATTAACAACGTCCAAACAAAGTTGAATTTAAAAAGAAATAAGAGATTCCGTCTTTATTGATAGAGACCTCGTAAAGTGATTAAGAAGAGAAGTAATAATAAGAAATACAAGTTTGGAAGAAGACCAAATCAAACAAAAGTGGAAAGAGATAGCAAGTAGAGACCAGTCTGCCTATGCTAAGTAAGAAAGTTTGAGGGTAATTCAAGCTTGTTGCTCTAAATGAAATAGAAATATACCAAACATATTAGTTACAAACAATTAATAAGGTGAGTTTCTGATGTTAGAGCCTTACTTGCAAGGGTGCAATCTGTGTGAGGTAATAACCTGAGTTATAAGTCCTTGAGGTTGGCAGTTGGCATACCAACAAAGTTATGCCAACATTCAATGTTACAACAATGTCATCATGAAAAATACATATGATCTTATCCATGTCAAAGTGCACTGATATCAATACAAGGTATTCTATATGTATTCCAAATAAAACTACAAGTCCTTCTGACGAAAATAATTACTACAATAACCATTGATATATTGTTAAATTGTACCAAATCCTTTACGTCCACAAACACCATGAGTTCATAGGTCGAAGGTAGCTGTGTTTTGGGATAGAAACAACATCACATCCAATTGGATGAATGCACGTTTCGTTCCCATTAGTGTCCGCGTCCGCAAACCTGGTCCAGCTTCACCCATTCTCTGTTCACTTTCCACAGTCAATGCCACAGTGGAACAAGTCTTCTCACTGATTCCATGTGGGCGAGGGGAACTTGTTATTTTTAGATCCGTTCCCGAAGCAAACGTGTGGGATCCCGTATTCCCAAGCCACTTTCACGAGATCTGGATCTCAGAGGGGATATAGGGTAAGGACCAGGTCATCCTCCCGCGCTGCAAAAAGTCCTGCCATAGTTATGAGTCCAAGTGGCAATCAACCGACCGCGCTGGAAGCTGACTTGGCACCTCCCCCAGGGCCAATACGACCATGGATTAGAATCTCCGCCGGATAAGGACGGCAAAGATCTCGATTTAAACTCAGGTGTGAATACGTGTTTAGCTGGATCCTTGCACCGACGACGTTTTTTCATTATCAAACGCCCTCAAAATAAAATTCTCCGCGTGGATACAGTTTTTGTTTCTTTCGAAAAGTTTGTTTCATTCTTGTGGGTGGATTTTGAACGGTTCGATTGTGTTGGAAAGAATTATTGAGGTTATTTTTATCATGTGATGTTTTGTCAAAGATTGGTAATAAAAAAACCATTTAATGCTCAATCAAGAATTAATTTTCACGAACCATAAATATATATATATATATTTTAACCCTAAACCCTACAATGCATTAAATATATATATATATATATATATATATATGTATATTTTAAAGTCCATCCACCAAATTAAGGAAGTCTTATTACATGCAGGAATCACGATGAGAAATCAACAATTAATGTTAGTGCAAATAAGATTCCAATGAAAAAGTGATTAACAAAATATTCAGATGGGAATAACATTTTAACATATATATATATATATATATATATATATATATATATTTAATGCATTGTAAGTTGTTTAAAACTTCTTTCCATTACAATCAAATGCTTTCAATGTAAGGGCCTATATACTTAAAATTTAAGATAAATGTCCAGCAATAAGGTTTCAAAATATAAAGATAAAATTCAACTGTATGTAAAAACGTTGATCTATGATACAATATGTATGCAATTTATTTATAATATTTTTAATAATATCTTTTATAACAATTCAAAGCCATTTTTGCACACTAAAACCATCATCTACATTATTTGTACCCATACATATATAAGCAGAATGCTAAGTCTATAAATCAAAGAAAGAAAAGTAGATTAAATACCATAGTTTTAAATTTTAGTCTATGAAAAAATTGATGTTCCAAAAAATAAAATAAAGAAATGCCTTGAAAATGAAGTTATTATCAAAAATAAATAAATACATTTGTTTTGCACGAGGAACAAGTTATGTTATATTAGTTCTAAATCTTAGTGTGTTATCACGAAATTAAAATTACACAATATAATATGGGTTTTTTATATGAAACATACTGAAAATTGGTTCCAGGGATTTTTCTTTTTTTCTTTTTTCTATGTAAGATGTTACTAGCTCTTGGTATTGAATAGTAAAGGTTGAAGACAATAATAAATTTAAAAATAAATTTTTTCTGTAATGAAAAATAAAATTTGTTGTTTCTCGCTACAAACATGTCTTGAAATTATGTTATAAAGTCCAAATAGATGTATAGCTTGATTTTACAGTATTATTATTAGATATATTATTAATAATATTATTATTGATTATTATTATTATTAATGAAGTGTATTATTACCTTTTTCTGAGAAAAATGTATAATCTTGACATCATTGATAAAGTTTTTTATTGTGTTGTGATATTTTAAAAAAGTTTTTTGGTTCTTATAAGAATTATTGTAATACAGATTTTTATTTCTCACTTTTTATTTTATACATTGTATAGAACGAATAAAGCCAAATCGACCTAATTAGAAAATACATTGATATAACCTAAAATAAAAGCTTATAACTCTACATATAGCTATATGTTATTATACATGCATTTTACATACATACATACATACATATGTATGTATATCATACAACATTAAAAAAAATCACAGTCTTCTTTCTTATTTTTCTGGAAAGTGTTTGACCACCGGGTTTTTGGCTTTCGAAGATTGAAGCAAACCAGAGGGAGGAAGAAGAACAATCCCCCATTAAAAACCACCAATAATTACTTAGCAACCCTCAAATCACATTCAAAAGCAATCTCACTCATACACACACACACACAAAAAAAAAAAAAAAAAAAAAAAAAAATCACAACCAGATACAAAGAAACATGTTACCAGAGAAGTGAAGCTGATGCCAACAACTTCGGGGTCCTTCTCATAGCAACCCAAACAAAAAGAAAAAAGAAAAGAAGCATGGATAATAAAATTCTAAACTAAAATCCGAAGCTTTCAGGAAGGAAAGACCCACCTCACAGAAGCGCGGAATGAAGGATTGCTGCGCAATCCAGCTCGGAGCGGGCTTAGGCGGCGCATCTACCGCACACGGTTATCGGAGATGCGCCCACGCGGTGAACAACGAACGAGGCACAAGCTTGAAACTCGTCGGCGCCAGCGAAGCCGAAGTCCGCGTGAACAATTGTTTTCTCCCGACTGTGCGTTCTTATCTCCTTCCCGGTCGCATCGCCGCAACCGATTCTTCGCCTCGATCCAGATGTGGGTCGCCGCTACTCTTACTTATAACCCATTTTTGCGCAGATCTAGTTTGTAAGCACCGATCTCTTGCTTGTTATATCAGTCCGATCGGCCTCACGGAGTTTCTAGCTCTTTCCATCAAGCATTCGTTGCACGTCTACTGGAGGGTGTTGCAGAGGAGCCTCGCGCACGGGCTGATTCCTTCGCCCTCGTTTTGAACAGGTCAGTAGCTTTTGTGTGATGAATCGGGTTGTAACGATTTGGTTGTTTTTTGTTTTTTTGTTTTGTGGGGGGCTCGTAGTGGGTAATGGTTTTTTTCCTGTGAAGAGGCGTGTGAGTTTGGGTGCGTGGAGTGAGAATGCGTCGGAGGTGTGTGTTGTGTTGTTTGGAAATGGCTGTGGATCGTGGGTGCGAAGGGGTGAGATGCGAGGTGGTGGTGATTTCTCAGTCGTTTTAGGGTGTTGCGTTCCTTCTGTTCGGAGGGTTTAATGGTTTATTACCTCGCTTTGGATCGCGCGCCGACAGTGCCCGTGGGAGGTTAGCCATGGGTTAGTTTTGACGTTGTAGTGCATGAAAGTTTAGGTCTGGGATTTCTCTAGTTTCAGGGTTTGGGTTTGCGCTCCTCGAGCGTTAGAAATCGTGCTTGCGATTTTGGAGGTATTCGTGAGCGTCTTTTTTATGATTTGTTACTTATTTTCTTGTTCACTTTCTTCCTCGCATTCGATTTGCTTGTCTGTATTCGTTAGTTGACGGTCTAGCGACCTAGTGGACAACGATTCGGACCCATTGGTAATGGGTTCGTACTGGTACGTCTGTGTCTCGATGAAATTTTAGTGTTAAGTTCGTTTTCGTTGAGCGCAGCTCTTTTCTTTGTCTTAGGAGGCAATCCTGTTGGAGGTGCGATACCAGGTAGACGATATGTTAGGATTTTCTAGATCTCAGCTTAGCTGCTGTAGAAACAAGCGATCCATGTACTTGATTTTGGTCTTAGCGTCAGAAACTGCGGGGTCTTTAGTCAACGGTGGACAAATTATGAGCTGATTTTTCACAATGTAAATTCTTTGATTACTTGGCGCAAGAAATGGCCTTACACTGTAGATCTATTCCACGACAGGGATGGTTTCCATAAGCACATTTTGCAATGTGCCCAGTTCTCAGAAATTTGGTAGCGTGACGTTACTTCTGAAATGGGTCAGCAGAGGTTCTTGAGGGAACATTTTTTTGGCCATGATCGCTGGCCTGCAAAGGTGGAGTCAGTGCTTATTATGCATAGGATATTTATCTTTCATGCTGTGCATGCTTGCAGAAATCTACGAGGAATTCTGTCGATGGCGACTGAGAAATCTGGAGCAGAGTTCCCACCGAAGATCGTTGAAGTGGCACATTTGGATGACACTGATGTGAAGACTCCCCAGCCACCCAAGCTTGAGGACATGGTGGAGCCGAACCAGAATTCGTTCACCGCATTGGAGTCTGGAACCTCTACGAAAATTGAAGCAGAGTCTACAGCGGAGGCTGTGAAGAACTTAGACTTGAAGGTTTGTGAACCTTGAACTCGTTTTCCATGTGCATATTATTTTCAGATATCAGAGTATCAATTTTCGCGTCAATGTGTATGCAGGATCAGGTTACATCGGAAAAAGCGCCTGAACATGAAGAGCATCACCACACTCTGAGCAATGTGGAGGAAGGCATGAAGAAAATTCATATTGATGAGGGCGAGAAGCACGTCGAAGAAAAGGAGAAGAAAAAGGACAAGGAAGGTGGTGAAGAAGGGGCAGAGAAGAAGGAAAAGAAAGAGAAAAAAAAGGATGAGGAAGGAGGAGAGAAGAAGGAAAAGAAGGAAAAGAAAAAGGACAAGGATGTGACTGAGGAGGGAGGAGAGAAAAAGGAAAAGAAAGAGAAGAAGAAAAAGGACAAGGAAGGTGAAGAAGGAGGAGAGAAGAAGGAAAAGAAGGACAAGAAGAAGAAGGATAAAGAAGGTGAAGAAGGAGGAGAGAAGAAGGAGAAGAAGGATAAAAAGAAGAAAGACAAAGAGAGTGAAGAAGAAGGAGGAGAGAAGAAGGAGAAGAAAGAGAAGAAGAAAAAGGACAAGGAGGGTGAAGAAGGATAAGAAGAAGAAAGACAAGGACGGTGAAGGAGGAGGAGAGAAGAAGGAGAAGAAGGAGAAGAAGAAAAAGGACAAAGAGGGTGACGAAGCAGGAGGAGAGAAGAAGGAGAAGAAGGACAAGAAGAAGAAAGACAAGGACGGTGAAGAAGGAGGAGAGAAGAAGGAGAAGACGGATAAGAAGAAGAAAGATAAGGAAGGGGAAGAAGGAGGAGAGAAGAAGGAGAAGACGGATAAGAAGAAGAAAGATAAGGACGGTGAAGAAGGAGGAGAGAAGAAGGAGAAGACGGATAAGAAGAAGAAAGATAAGGACGGTGAAGAAGAAGGAGGAGAGAAGAAGGAGAAGGATAAGAAGAAGGACAAGGAGGGGGCTGAGGAAGGAGGGGAAAAGAAGGAGAAGAAGGATAAGAAGAAGGACAAGGAAGGGGCCGAGGAAGGAGGAGAGAAGAAGGAAAAGAAGGAGAAGAAGGACAAGGAAGGGGCCGAGGAAGGAGGAGAGAAGAAGGAAAAGAAGGAGAAGAAGGACAAGGAAGGGGCCGAGGAAGGAGGAGAGAAGAAGGAAAAGAAGGAGAAGAAGGACAAGGAAGGGGCCGAGGAAGGAGGAGAGAAGAAGGAAAAGAAGGAGAAGAAGGACAAGGAAGGGGCCGAGGAAGGAGGAGAGAAGAAGGAAAAGAAGGAGAAGAAGGACAAGGCTGCAGATGAAAAGGATGGCACGGAGAAGAAAGAGAAAAAGGAAAAGAAGGAAAAAGACCCTGAGGCCAAGGAGAAAAAGTCGAAAGAGAAGGTGGCGGATGAGTAAATTAAAGGGTAGTCCAGGTTATCATGCTGTGCCTGATTAAGTTTCAGGCTTGTGTAGAAAGATTTTTTCTTTTCGATAATGTTAATATCATGCTGTGGCAAGGTTTCCTCAGTATCGCGTTATGTAACTTTTGTCCACAACATTCGCTAATCGTAGTTTCGGGGTTTAGATCAGATTGCTTCTTCTGTCGTCACCCTTAGAAGCCAATTGTAATTACTGGAAGTTCTCTCTTCTCACAGCTGTGGAAGTGGACGGAGTTATCAAGCGTCAAAAGATAGGTCTTTGCAGTGTTTGAACGAGTGAGCAGTTACCAGAAGATTTCAGAGCAGCGGTACCCATGGCCTTCCATTTGTGTTTTTCCCCTCCAGTGCGGAGTTGAGGTTTTCCGCACGTTGCCAGAGTAGAAGGTCCATAACTCAGTTTTAGCCTCTCTTTTGCCAACAGGAAACAGGAGATTGATTGATTCTCGAGTTGGCCAGTAGCAGATAATCTTTTTGATGATCATTACCTATTTGCGAGTAGACCGTTCGCAATAATGTTCAAATCTTCACTTGTGCGAAAAGTGGTTTCACCACACATAAGTTCGGTACTTCTGCATCATCCACATCGGCCACTACTCTGGGTAAGTTTTCGGTGTAAGCCAAATCTGATGTGTGTATTTGGTTTCTTTATCGTTTCTTTGAGGGAAAGCTTCGTGTTACGCTATACTGTTCTCTGGTCTGCAAGTCGGTAGAGTTGTGGTTGGCTACTAATTGTGTTACCTGTTCTTGGTTCTGATGCCTTTTTTTAATTTTTTAAAATTTTTATTTATTTATTTATTTACTTCCATGGAACTCTGTTGAGTCACCAGAGATTCATGTGTTTCAACTTTGGTTCAGTGGGGAATGGAAACTGTGACTCCACCCTCAACTTGATTCTGTTGAAGACTGAGAAACTGCTCTTTTTTGTGCTCATATTTTGAACTTTTCAAGCATATCTGCATATAGCTAGATTCATGATTTACACAAAAGCCTATAGCTTGCATAGTGTGCTATCCTTAAAACAAAGACTCGGTACAGCAAAAAATTTATTTCCATGAAGTGAATTGTCATTTTGAAATTTCTCTGAACAATGGATTCTCCTACTACAAAGAAAAATAACACATAATTTGACCTCAAGCACAGATTTTTTTTTTCCATAAAAAGAAAAAAATACAGAAAGTAGTTGGAAAACTTTGATTACTAACTTGTAATATCTTTGAAATGGGGATTTGTACAATAAGAAAAAATACATACCAAATTTTGATTCATTTGCAATTACATCAATGAAACAAGGTCTAATCTTGACCTGATTATTTTAAGGACTACTTAGACAAATTTAGGTTAATATGTAAATTAATAACAAACAATGTTATAGTCGTGGTAAGGCAAGATAAGAATAAATTTAAAATCCTAGATTAAATTGCTTACAATCAATATAGTAATTTCTAGCATAGTATTTATTTAAATCATAGTACTTAAAAAAATTGAAGCATGAAAAATTCATAATTAAAGAGTTAAAAGAATAAAAAATATAAATGTGCTTAAGGAGATAGAAGATTATTTCAACACTAAAAAATAAAATAAAAAGTATTAAAATTGGTATTTTAAGGATAAATATTTTATATGAAAATTATAACACATAATTTTCTTGCTATAAGCAAAATTTCTTTAAAGAGAAAAACCAAAGAAAAACTAAGCATAATTGATCAAGATGCAATTGTCAAAGATTCAACTTTTTTATTATAATTAAAAAAATTGAGTAATCAAAATATCAAATTTAATTTTAAAAATATAATCAAAAAAACATAAAATACATAAATCAATGCTACAAGAATTGCTAAAAGACTTAAAGTAATAGATGTTAGAATATAAGTATCTTAAATAGAAAAAAAATTCATATTTTAAAAAGATTTTAGATAAAAAAGTAAGTTACTATTAGAATACTATAAAAATGCATGTATAGTAATAAATTGTAATAATTACTACAAGTATATAAGACAAACCATTGCTATTAAATCCAAGAATTTTTTATTTACAAAAGTTGTGTAATTTAAATTTTTATAAATAAATTTATTTTTTTAAATGAATATATAATAAAAAAATGACCAAAGTAATATTAAATAAAAATAAAAATAAAATTATTAGTAGTAAGTCAATCAATATAATTAAGCATTAAGTAATATAAATTATCTATCTTATTATATAAAGCCTTTATTTAATACATTTTAATTGAAATAAATAAAATAAAAAGATATGCCTATTTAAAAAATATATTCAATTGTATTAGCATCTAAAGTATATCTTAGGAATAGAATTGATTCAATATGCTTTAATCTACAAATTTCTAACTAATAAACATATAAAATACTATATTATCATGCAAAGTCTTATTTTGTAAAACAAAAAATTCTATATTTTTTAGATATCTTCAAATCTTTAATATTAAGTGCATAAAAAAATCCTTCAATAGTCTAGATCTTTTAATAATTCTAAAATTTAAATATTCTTTTATTTTAAATTTTAAGAATTCCAAATAAATCCTATAGAATAATAAGAACTTATTATTAAAATACTATAAAGTTATTTGATATAATTTTTAGCTTCTACTCTAATTTAGTATAGAGTTTCATTATAATCTTTTTTTTTTTTGATATCTTATATTTTAAATTTATCTAATGTGAAGATCTTTAGTTATGTTAGAAATCTTAACTAACCTTAAAACACTAGCTTCTAATACCTCATATCTCATTATATAAGTGGTTTGATACCTTTTAATTGCACAATTAAATAATAATAAAAACTTCACAAATATGTTATAATTTTATAAATGTTTATAAATATAAAAAATCAACTAAAAGTCAATTAAAAAATATCAAAAATAAATTGAAACTTAATATTATTTTTTTACTATTCTTAAATTATTATTGCAAAAAAAATTATAATATTAATTTTACACCTATTCTATCTAAATTTAATTATATTATGGCCTAATTAAGTCAATAAAAGCCTTTTAAGTACAAAATGTAGTCCAAAATATAAGCATTTTAGCTAAAATTAATCAATTAATAATTAAGCTATAATAAAAAATTCATAAAACTTGTGAATGAATTTTCTTTGTATATCTTAAATTTCCATCAATATTTTTATTAAATAATAGTATTTCAACATAATAGTATACTAAAAATTATTATTTTTTTAACAATATAAAAAATATCAAAATACATTGAATTGAATGTAGAACTATGAGATAAATTAGTTATATTTAGAGATACTTTTAAAAATAAAGCCATCAAATCAATGTAAGGATTTATATTACCAAGTAAAATATAAGTAAGAATGAAGCATGAATTCTGAGCATAATTTGAAGTATGAGTTGCTATATAGAAGCAAGAATGAAGAATGAGGCTGTGGTTCAAATAAAGTATAAGATAGCGATTAGATTGGAGGTTATTGAAGTTCAAGTGGATTAGGGTCTTAGAAATTAGATTTTTAGGTCTAATAAGGTCATTTAAGATTTGTAACAATTTACCAATTGAATTAAAGAGATTTTTATTGGAGCTAATAGTTGATTTAACTTCCAATGCATATCCAAAATTTGAAAGGAAGTTAATAATTCAATTAGGAGTTATTGCTATTGAAGATCAATATCAAAGACAAAAATGGATGTCGGCTAATACTTGAGTGGATTATGTTGTTTTTCACTTATTTTGCAAGTTCGATTTACTTCAAATTTGTATCACATCCATATATATTTATTACAATATTTATCTATATGATTAAATAGAAGTAGGTAAAAGTAGATTTATTTCATAATACTTTCTAGAGAAGCTTCTTAAAAGCTTCATAGACACTTCTTTGACTTTACATGTATTTGTAGTTGATTGATAGAATAGAAACTTAATCAATAACTTAATCACATATTGGTAGCTTGTAGAACAAGCTAATTATGTGGTGTACATATATAAAAATTATCTTGCAAGTTAAGATACGTATCTTGCAAAGTCAACATATTTTGAAGGTCCTATAGGATATTCCCATGTAGCTCATAGTTAAGAATATATATAAAGGCAAGAATGAAGCCTTCTTCACTCTTGTCAATGCTTTTCTAAACTTTAGTCTTCTTTCAAGACTTTCTATCTTTTTGTCTTTGGCAATAGCTATTCTAATTTAATACTATATCATCTTTGAGTGATTTTCTAGTCTTTTTGAGTATCACAAGAACATATTGATATTTTAGTTCTTTGAAGTTTATGCCCTTGATAATTTGATAAGAGTGCTAATTTATTATTTTTATCTTCTTTTAAAAGTGAGTGAATTATTCCACTTCTATTCTTATTTTTTGAAAGTTATAGATCATCTATTTTTAAATAAATTATTTAATTTTCTAATACTGATTTTGTTTTTTGTAAAGAAAGCAGATTATTCTTCTTTGTGGAAATTGTCATTTGATATTAGAGGTTGGAGACTACTTTCTTCTAGTTTAACTTATGAATTTATTAAGTTGTTTGAAATAGAAGGAAAAATCATGGATGCTACACTTAATGGAAGTAAAAATAGATTTGTAATTATTGCAAATCTTTACAAAATTGTCAACACTCTCCAAGTGGAAATTTCATACATCTTCAATGTCAACCATGGAAACACTAATCCTACATCTATAAAAGAAGTTCAAAACCTACAACAAGAAATTGTGCAATTGAAGGAAGCAAGTAAATCAACCTTACAATCAAATCTAGGATTTTTTTTTTTTTTTTTTTTTTTTTTTCTACAAATACAACAGGGATATGGATTAATATATTGGATAAGTTTGATAGAACGAGATCAAAATTTCAGAGATTTTTGCAATAAGTCAAGCTCTATTTAAGTTTGTATCTCTTCCAATATCTTGATGGATTTATTCAAGTTGGATATATAGATACTTTTTTATTTGGAAGTACTCTCTCTTGGTTTGTTTTTATAATGAAAAAAGATTTGTGACTC